AAGAAACAGTCCTTCAGGAAGCTGAAGTCCTTGCTCTTTGTGAAACTGAGATTTAAAAACCATTATTATTTTTTTTTAAATTGATTGTGATTTGGGTGAAGATTTACAGAGCAAATTCACTTTCCATACAGCAGTTCACATATACTTTGTCTCATATCATTTACCACAGTGCAACAGCTTCCCTCCCACTTCCTCCCCATAGATACCTCTTCCCAGTGTCCATCCCTCCATACTCTTCTGCGCCCTGAGCTGTCTCCCTGTGCATAAGCAGCCCTTCCTTCTCCCATGATTGTTCTCTCCAGGGCGTGTGTCTACTTGAGGTAAATGTTTAACTCACATGCCTGTACTTTGTTTGGCTGGAAACCACAGGTGTGGATTCAATTCCAGAGCTGAAGGGCAGCTCGGGGCCATAGTCTCAGTGGTTCCACCAGGCTCTATTGGTAAAAACCATTTTAAAAGTTAACATTTCTTAAGGGTAAATTAGAAGGCTGGTGGTTCAAACCCACCAGCCACTCCTTGAAAGGAAGATGGGGCAATCTACTTCCGTAGTGATACTGCCTCGGAAACCCAAGGAGGGGTCGCTATGAGTCAGTCCAACTCGATGGCACACAACAATAAGAACAAGGGTAAATTAGCAGAGTATGTGCCACTATTCACATACTGACTTGAAAGAATATAGAAACTCAGTAACAGAGGTAAGGGTAAGAGAGTTTGGTTTCCTGTGTAGTGCTCTCCTTTGCATATGGTTGTATATTTTCTGTCTGAAGCTAAGCAGTTAGTTTTAGGATTTCTTTAGTTGACAGGTATTTTGTAATTTGTTGATCTGAAAATATGCTTTCTCTACAGGAGCTGTTTCAAAATCCTTTACATTTGTTTTCTTAATTGTTAAACATAGTATATTTTTATTTCATTCACAGATTATCTTCCACATCTATTCCCTCAATCTGTGTTTTCCTACTACCAGCTCACAGAAATTCCCTCTTCTATTTCCTCTTTGTATTCTCTTCTCAACAGCCTTCTTTTAAGGCATTTATATATATGCATTTATATATATTTAACTGTGATTTTGGTGAGTTTACAGAGCAAATTCATTTCCATTCAACAGTTCATATGCATTTTGTTTCTGACATTGATTGCAATCCCCCTAATGTAACAGCTCTCTTCCCACTTTCTCCCTGTAGTTACCTTTTCTCTATGTCTTTTTTTTTTTTCCTATGCATTCCTTCCCTCTGAGCTATCTCCCTGTGCAAATGCTGCCCTTCTGATCTCCCATGGTTGATTGTTCTAAGAAGTATAACTACCTGGTGTAAATGTTCACTTTATATGACTGTCTGTTGTTTGGCTAGAAGCCACAGGATTGAGTTCAGTTCCAGGCCTGAAGGGTGACTAGGGGCGATTGTCTAGGGGATTTCACTGGTCTCTATCAGACCAGTAAGCCTGGTCTTTTCTATGATTTTGAGTTTTCCACATTTTTCTTAAAATCTATCCAAGATCTCCTATTTTGATACATCTCCGAGTGGTTGACAGTGATAGCCAGGGACCATCTAGTTCTTCCAGTCTTAAGGTTATGTAGGCTTTGGTTGCCATGGTCCACTAGTCCCTTGGACTAATTGTTTCCATGCATCTTTGATTTTTGTCACTCTTCTTTGCTCTGGACAAGGAGAAAATAATTGTTGCATCGCTGATGGCCACTTGCAAGCTTTTAAGACCCCAGTCACTAATCACCAAAGTAGGATGTAGAACAATGTTTTTATGTAGTAATGCCCATTGAGTTTGATGTCTTCTGGGCATTAATGTTTTAATGACTTTAATAAAAACATTTCTGCACAAGATTGCAATGTCCCTTGTATTCACCTTGCATGTGGTATAACATGGTGGTTAAGGTGGCTCTGAAATTGTGACCTTGGGTAAATTTCTTTGGTTTCTCTACATCTCACTTTTTTTATTGGAGGAAAGGAAAGTATTTACAGGCTATAAAAGTATTTGCAGGTTATTGTGAACATTAAATTCTGTAAACTATGTAAAGTGCTTAACATAATACTTGGTACAAGTGTTCAATTAATGCTAATAATTTTTTATTCATGTATGAATTAAGAACACCTTGTAATAAAATTTGCACATAACACACAGTAATTAAGTCTTTTTGAAAAATTTTTATTGTGATTTGGGTGAAAGTTTACAAAGCAAATTCATTTTCTATACAGCAGTTCATAGACATTTTGTTTCATGACATTGTCTACAATTCTCCACAATGTAACAGCTCTCTTCCCACTTCCTCCCCGTAGTCACCTCTTCCCTGTGTCCTTCCCTTCCATGCATTCTGCCCCCCAGCTATCTCCCTGTGCAAACACTGCCCCCCTGTTCTTCCTCAATTAATTGCTCCAATTAGTGCATCTACCTGATGCAAATATTCACTCCACATACCTGTCCACTGCCTGGCTAGAAGCCACAGCAGCAAGCCCAGTTCAAGACCTGAAGGGTAACTAGGGGCCATAGTCTCAGGGATGTCATCAGGCTCTATCAGACCAGCAATACTGGTCCTTTTTTTTTTCTTTTTAATGATTTTGAGTTTTGTTCCACATTGTTCTCCCATTCTATCCAAGATCTCCTGCACCAACCCCCCTCTGAGTGATTGACAGTGGTAGCTGGGCACCATCCAGTTCTGGTCTCATGGTCAAATAGTTTGAGGATAGCAGGGTTTACTAGTTCCTTGGACTAATTATTTCTATGTGTCCTTGGTTTTCTTCATTCTTCCCTACTCTGAAGAGAGAGAGACCCATCACTGCATCTAGATGGATGCTTATACGCTTTCAAGATCCAGTTGCTACTCACCAAAGTAGGATATAGAACAGTATTTTTGTGTAGTATATTATGCAAATTGAGTTTGATGTTCCCTGCGACCATGGCCCAGAGCCCACAGGTCCGACTACTTGCTCCCTCAGGGTAGCTGGCTGTGGCCATGAAGCCACCACAATCTTGCCCCTTGTCGCTATTATACACCCAGACATTCTTACAGCACATACAAATACACATGTAGAAACATTGTCTGCCAACCCTGTACATGGCCATGGGCATGCTCCCTCCTGCCTAGACAAACCTGATCATTCAGCCTGTCCATCCATCTATCCAATGCTTGCCATCACTGTCTGTACCTCCCATGAACCTCTCCATATCTTCCTCTTCCTCAGTGGCACTAAACACACAGTAACTAAGTCTTAAGAGGAACAGAACAGTGGCAGAGCTGAGTTAGAAGATACCACCTCTTTTTAGAGACTTTTCCTGGTCATGCAATATGTAAGTCCGAGACTGGATTGGACAGAGTACCTCTTCACTGATTTCTTTCTATTTTCAAAGCTCCTCTCCCCCATCTAGCTCCATATTTTCGTAATTTGCACACAAACAGCATGGATGTGGATACTTAGGCACAAAACAGTCACCTAACCATTTAGCCTTATTGTTAGTTGCTCTCCAGTTGGCTGGTTTGTGGCAACCCTATGTGTCACAGAAGGAAACATTGCCCAGTCCTGAACCATCTTCATGATCTTTGGTTTGTTTGGGTCCATTAACTTTCTTGAAAAATAAATTAAAAAAATCACTGCCATGGAGTCGGATCCGATCCATAGCGACCCCTCCTTGGTTTCCGAGGGGATATCACTACAGAAGTAGATTGCCCAATCTTCGTTCTGAGGAGTAGTGACTGGTGGGTTTGAACCGCTAGGCTTCTTGAAGGCAGTGAAAAACACTGTTCACAGCAGAGCTAGGCACGTAGTCTGCACTCTAAACATTGCAGCTTATCTTTTTCACCGCTGTATCCCTAAATCCTAGAACAGAACCCTACACAATAGGCGGCTGTTAATTGATAGAGCAGTGTTGTAAGAATGCCCCTGACTCCCTTTTCACCCCAGCCCCTCACTTCTTTTGCGCCTCTGCCAGAGAGGCTAGCGAAGCCCTAGGGGACCCAGGCGCGCGCTAGGCCTACTTCTCGGACTTTGCTCCCCGCGCGCTGCTGCAGTTGCTATGGAAACGGCGGGACATAACAACTCAGTTCCCCCACTCCCTCGGGTGAGGGAGGCCGGCAGAGGTAATGGCAGCGGCGGAACAGCGGGAGCGAGGTGCGGTCGCTGCCAAGTTCACCTAGGTGCTAACGGAGCCGCAGCGCGGCGTTCCCGCCCGGCGCCCTCGCGCGGCGCCCCCTGCCCAGGCCAGAGAGCGCCCGAGCCGCGTCTCTCCCAACCAGCCCTCCAGTGTCGGTAGGTACCAAGTCGCCTGGCGCCTACCTCGAGACCCCTCCGTCTGCCCACCCTGCTATTCCTCTGCCGCGACCATGTTGCCAGCAGTTTCAAATGATGCCCTCGGGAGCTACGCCACCCCGCGGTGGCGGTCATCTGGGGAGAGAGGGAGGGGTCCTGGACGTAGAGTCCGAGTTTCTGTCCCTCAATGCACCTTAGGCTATTATTATTATTATTTTTTTTGAATCAGCAAAGAAAAAAATGACTAATTCCAACCAGGATCTTAATTGCTCTAACTTGGGTGCAAAGAGTGGAGGGGTAAGGAACAAGGACAGAAAGAAAAGAGTAACAGTTTATGAGTAAAAGTTTATGAGTACTTAGCTTAGAAATTTTTGTCATATTTATAATTCATGCCCCACCAACCTCTGTCTCTTCTGCCTTGTTTAAAGCCTCTCACGTGGCTCTTCCGGAGGTGTTACACCTTGATTCTGCCCTTAGCATGTGTAACAGGTGTCGTACGCACATCGTGAGTGCTGATTGGTTGTGCAGACCAAGGTGAAATACTTAAACGTCTACCGTGAGCCCTGCAGTCTGCAGGGTCTCTGCGGGTTGGACGCCAGAGCTCGGCGCTTACTTCTTTCTTATCTTTGGGTTTGTGTCTTGCCCATTAGTTTCAGGAATCGATCCCGCGCTGTGTGTGCGGTGAGGCAGTTGGGACAGCACAGGTGCCTCCCTTGGAGCAGCGAGCCGCGGCGGCGTCCCGCGGGGAAGATGAGCGGCACCAGCACCAGATCCAACCACTTGTCTCAGCCTGTAGTGAAGAGCGTGCTGGTGTACCGCAACGGGGACCCCTTCTTCGCTGGGCGCCGAGTCGTCATCCATGAGAAGAAGGTTTCCAGCTTTGACGTCTTCCTGAGGGAGGTGACGGGTGGCGTTCAGGCGCCCTTTGGGGCTGTCAGGAACATCTACACTCCGCGGTCTGGCCACCGTATCCGGAAGCTAGATCAGATTCAGAGCGGGGGCAACTACGTGGCCGGGGGCCAGGAAGCCTTCAAGAAACTCAAGTGAGTCCCTCTGCCTATACTGCCCACCAGTTCAAGGTGCATTGTGATACTGGATTTTGTGAGGAAATAAATGACACCCCTGCCCCCAACACACACCTACTCAGTGAGGTGAGGGGTTGTGTGACATGCTTTGGTGACTCTCTCAAAGCCCGGGCTGCAGTTGAGGGTAGAGGTTGGAAGTGAATTGAGAATTTCACTTGCCTACCGTAGTGGCTAAGGCACTTGACTGCTAACTAGGAGGCTGGCGGTTCAAACCCACCAGCCACACCTCGGAAGGAAGATGAGGCAATCTACTTCCGTAGTGATACTGCCTAGGAAACCCAACGAGGTGTCGCTATGAGTCGGGTCTGACTCGACGGCATATAACAACAACAGCAGCAGTAGAAACAGACTTAAAATTTGTGTATAAACAATACCAAACCAAACCAAACTCGCTGCAGTGGAGTCGATCCCCACTCATACCGACCCCTCCTTGGGTTTCTGAGGCGGTATCACTACGGAAGTAGATTGCCATGGATTTGACTGGTGGATTTGAACCGCCAGCCTTCTGGTTAGCAGTCAAATGCCTTAGGCACTAGGAATCTTTAAAAAAAGTATTCATGCAAGGGATACTTTAAAAGATCATCTGATACTTCACCATTTTGTATTCTGCTTTAATTTTTCTGTTTTTTTTCTTCTTTCCCTTTTCTTTGAAACTCTTTTTGCTTGAAGCAAAGATTTCTTAAAAATCACTTATACTGATAGTATTGGATAATACATTATGGCGAGAGGAGGTACTGTTTGTGTTTTTTCCTATGCTGTCCAAATTCTTTCACCTTTCATTCCTTGTAGAAACGACCATGCCCTGCTTTTTTGTGACTTCTCCCAAACCTGCATGTTTATGCAATTAGTATAGCACTTGGAAAAGTTGAGTGGGTTTATCATATTTGTCTACATGTCTGTCTCTCTAGGTATCTGTAAGACCCTCAAGGGCAGGGGTGGGTTATTGGTGCTTATCCATTGTTCCTGGCAAACAGCTCATTCATAGTAGGTAATCAGTGAATTAGCAAACATCACTTGGGTTTGTGAGGTGAATAAAGATGAACAAGACATGAATCCCAGTGCTGAGGAGCCTGCAGTCTAACAGGAGAGAGAATACACAAACAGCAATCATTTTCATGCCAAGTAGAAAGTGATAAATGCAGTTAGCAATATAGCTAAAGTTATATGTGGAGTTGAGAGTTGAGTGAGATTATTTCTGATGGCAATGGGAATGAAAGGCCAGGTAGAATGACATATATTTCACATACCACAAAATTCACCTTATTTTTTTTTTAGTATATTCACAGAGTTGTGCAACTATCACCACAATTTAATTTTAGAACATTTTCAGCATCCCAAAAAGAATCCAGTACCCATTTGCAGTCATAATTCTATTTCCTGTCATCCCCAGCTCTAGGCAACTACTGATCTATTTCTGTCTCTAAGATTCATATATTCTAGATATTTTACATAAATGTAATCATACAATATGTTTTTTATTCCTGGCTTTTTTTCCCACTTAGCACAATCTTTTCAAGGTTCATCTATGTTGTAGTGTGTATCAGTACTTCATTCTTTTGATTGCCAAATAATGTTCCATGGAATGAATTTCATTTATCCATTCATCAATTTGATAGATATATCTGTTGTTTCACTTTTTGGCTATTATTAATAATGAATGCTGCTATGAACATTCATGTACAGGTTTTTGTGTGGACATTTGTCTTCATTTCTCTTGGTCAGGTACCTAAGAGTGGAATTACTGGGACATATGATAACTCCATATTTCATAGTTTTTAAATATTACATTTAGCTTGGGCCTCAGGATAGCAAGATACAGCCCTACTATAAGCTATATACTTATAAATTCTATTGTTAAATCATATAGAATTTATTTTTCTAAATACCACTAAAGTTGTCTAAAATCAACCTTCCTTTCTTAGGTTTATTTAAATTGAGTTCTAGATATTCTACCTTTTGTTATACCAGACATTCTTTTTATGGGAGATGATGGATTTATCTTTTCCCTTAGGGTTTATCTATTCCCTTCCCTGCAGCCTCTCCTAAGCGTGCCTTGTCTTCCTGAGTAGGAAAGAACTAAATGGAACTTGAGAGCTTTAAAGAAACTTACAACTTAAAGTCAGAAGACTGGAGGCCGAGCTGTTTATTAGCTCTGTATCCTTGGGCAAGTCACTTGACTCAGCTAATCAGTTTCCTAATACAGAAAAGAAACATAATCATTCCTGCCTAACAAGCTTGTTGTGAAAAGTTAAGTGCTATGGATATGAGTGCGTTTTATAAATACCAAACTATTATCTCCTATAGTAAGGCATCTTTATGTTCAGTTCCTTTCATCACACACTTTATTTTTCATTGAATACTTTCCATATAAAACCATTTTCATGGCAATAGAAATCCGGTTCAGAATCCATTAAAAGCTGAAAATTGTAGGAGCACTTTAGTAATTTATATTCTCCTTTGTTTATTTGACACTACCAACTCCAAAGATAAAGACAGATACAGTTCCAAACCCAGTAAAAATCACACTTCAGTCTTAGCTTTCAAGTGTATATGAGAGCTCACCCTTTATATGTACAAGAGATTTGCATGGTTACATTTGTTTTTCATTCACAACAAAACTGAATTTGTTCTAACAATGTTGATAGTTGTTAGCTTTCTATGCTGACAGATGAATATCTTATTTGTGTTAAAGTAGTGGTATCTATGGTTATGATGATAGAAACCAAGGGGATTTATAGGTGAATGTATTTGAAGCTTGGCACGTGTAAGTTTATAAAGCAAATGAAGCAACTAGCAGGACAAAAGGAAGTCCAACATGTATTGAGGGTAATCTGTGTGCTTTCATTTAGACCCTAAATGATGTTTGGGAAGATAATGACAGAAGAAAAATATTGTTCAAATGAAAATGATCAACTGCCCACTTGAATTCTTTTCACCCAGATTTTTGTAATATTTTTTAAAACTATAAATAAACTTCAGGTAGCTGTTAAACCTTTATTTTATAGCATAGCGTTCTAGAGATTGTTATTTTCCCCAGAAGTTTCCCTGTGCATTTTCGGAAGTTGGCTTTACTATATTAATCTTGTAGATCTAAGGTCACTTTCCTATACATGGCAATTAGAATGTTTTGGTATGAAGTCAGAAATTGGTCCTTGCCGATTCACAAAAGTGCTGTTTTATTTCTATAACAGAGGGAATATTCACACTGCCTTTTGTAAATCTGTTTGTGTGGAGGAAATGAATAATTTCCAAAGGTATCAATTTAGCTAAAGCATTCTATCCAAAAAAGCAAACAGTAAGAACAAAACCACATTTTAAAGCCAAAAGCAAAAATTAATTCTAATATAAACTTATTTTGGCAACTCAGTAATTACAGTAGTTGAGGTAAAAGATTATATATATGCACACACATATATATGTAATAAAATTAATTGCTAAATTTATATTAATTTGTTAAATTAAAATGTTTATTTTGCACCTTCTATGAAGCACGGCACATAACAACAACAACAACATGACGCACAGTGAAAGAGACCATATACAACTGAAACCAGATCACAGTGATGAACTTCAGGCTTAAAGTTGACAAAAGTATAAAGTTTTCAGGTTGTACTTTTGTCACAGCTAAAGAATGGTCACTAGCTAATATCTGCAACAAACAGTAATGGAATAGTAGGGGTCTCCAGAGGTTAACTAGTCCACCCATCTGTTTCTTAGCGGAACCAATACCTAAACCATCCCACGTGACTATTTCTGCATCATTAAAGTGATCTCTTAGGGAAAAAGATTTCCTAGCCTTTTCCAGCTGTTACTCTAAAGCACTTTATTCATTTTATTTGACCTAAATCTGTGATTAAAGGAGCTTGACATGCTAACTACTCTTTATGTCATATTGGAATTGGAAAATGCATATATAATGTGTAGCTAACCATTATGAGTTCGAAAATGTTCCATAATAGAAGTATGTCTTTCTAAGACTTCAATTCCCTTGATGTTTAGGATAGACATGTGTCAGCTCTACTTGGCGATGGTGAAAGCAGTTCTTATGACTATAATTACTTTTAATTAGTAATTGATTTTTGCTCTAGGTTTATGTATTTCCTATGGTTTGCTTTACTTTTTAATAATTTTAAAAAAGAAGTTTATATAACTGATTCAAAAGCTCTACAAACAACCCTTATTATAACTTTTTTTTTTTTTCTTTTCCTCCAGTTACCTGGACATAGGAGAAACCAAGAAAAGACCAATGGAAGTTGTAAACACAGAGGTAATACAAATAATATTTTGAAGGCTCAAATAAGTAACAGTGCCAATTTTGTGTTTCTTATGGTGTGTCTTAGAGATTTGGACCCCTTTCTCTGAGATGAATTTTTTAGTTTATATAGAAAAACAGTTGCCATCAAGTGGATTTCTTTCTTCCAAGGCACCCCTGGGTAGATTTGAGAACTCCTATGTGTGTCAGTGCAGAACTGTGTTCTAGAGATGGCTGGATTTCCCAAAGTAGATCCCCAGATCTTTCTTCTAAGGCACCCCAAGATAGACTTGAACCTCCAACCTTTTAGTCAGCAGTCTAGTACATTAACTGTTTACCTAAGGATTCCTAATTTATATAAATGGGATATATAGATATATCTATATATTTATATAAACTAAGGAATATGTCCTACAGAATACCTGAAAATCCCACCAGAGTTTCAGAAGTTATATGAAATGTGGTATCTTGAATATCTATTTCACAAGACTTATTTCCAAGGGAAATAAGGGATTCTTTGTTTAAATAAATGAGACATTATATATCTTAAAGCAAAGATGATCCTTGACTTGGATCAATATCAGAAGTGGAGAGACTGAGTAGGTATCCTAAGACATATAGGATTAGACCTCAACATATTCTTATTGTCCCATTTTCTAGCTGCATTTTCTAGCTTCTGGTTGTGATCAATAGGAATTATCCCTGTCAAGGGGTGAGAGATACAGAACACTATTATCTGTATCTTTACAAAAACTACATACCCTGGCCTAACTTACTTTTGAGAGCTCAGTGTTTGAAATAGTCTGGGTCACCTTGGCTGTCCTTAAGTCTTTCAAAGGATATGTGTGGATGCCATGTTAGACTGTAGATGACATGTTAAAGTTTTCACTTGACCGTAGTTAGCAAAAGCTTGCATGATGATTGGAAACAAGCCACATTAAATAGATCTTTAGGATTTCACTTTCTACTTAGCTTTTGAGACCCTAGTGGACTTTTCTGTAGTGTATATTATTTTATGGATGAGGAAACAGATTAAAAACAAAGTTAAATGTCCTAGTAAGACAGAAGGAAAATTATGTTAGACAAGGATAGGGACTTGTTTACCAGCCCAGACTGCCACACTTCCCACTTTGATCCCACACAAACTAGTGTTTCCAATGGGGGTGCTCTATCAGTAAAGACATGACCAAGAGAAAAAGTAGTTTTTCCCATTTGTTGTCTGCGCCCAAAGAGTCTCTCCTTAACTCTCTCCACTTTCCCTCATATCATGTTTATGCCCAGCAGGAACAAATAGGTCCTTCTGCAAAAAAAAAAAAAAAACCACATAAGAATAATTTCTAATTGTGTAGTATTTGAAGAATGTGAGGTTAAATTCATTATTCAAATTATTTGTCACAAGTCCTTCCCCATCAGGGGTTGCTCCATCAGGCTTTTGGCTTCCACTGGCCAAGAATGACCAGGAAAGACTTAGACTTTCCATACAAACAAGCTCTTATTAAGAGAAAGAGAAAGTGGCTTACAAGTGGAGACAAAGGACTAAACAATGCTAGCCTTTGTCTCCCTGAGCAAAGATTTGCTGGGGTTTTTTAAAGGATTTTGGGTGGAAAGAGACTTCATCTTTATTCCTGAAATAGGTGGGACTGTTCTGAGAAGAAGTGGTAGTTTCATAGAAAGGGGTGGCATGTGCAGGAGTTACAGGTGTTGGTGGGAAACTTGACATGAGTTGCAAGTGCTGTCAGGATACTTGACATGATTTATCATGGATGTTAACATGAACTATCTCTTGGGGTATCGGTTCAAATCCCGGTTGGTGCCTTTACTTCAATACCCCCATCCCAGGAAGGTCATATAGCAGTCATCCTGTAGTGTTGTATGCATGCTTGGAGAGCTGAAGCAAACTGGTTTGCCTGCAAAACACCTGCAAGATATCTTGCAAAGAGGTAAAGCATGGAACTGGGTGGGTTTCTGGTTATTTCTGTACCGTGTGCTATAGAATGTGGTTTGGCCTTTAGCTATAGCAGTTAGGCTTGCAGGCTGTGTCTTTAGTTAACCCTTTGAGTCCTACCACTTTCTTCCTGTCTCAGTGCTACCCCAGGATTTGCTTAAAATAATTAATATTCTTGTTTGTATTTTTAAACTTCAACATGTGATTGTTTACAAAAGTGATGGACTTAATAACTTAATATTGGACCAAGATACAAATCTTTTAGATTGTGTTTATGTTAGCTTATGTAGTGAAAAAAGGACAGATTGGTGAATTAGAAACAGAGAACCGCTGAATGAATTAGTTCTGAATATAACTGTTCGAAGGAAATACTTCTGGTTGAAGTAGGCTACCTTGCATGGAATGGGTGACTGAACATAGATTTTTTTGCAATGGATTTTGAAATATGTGAATTTCTAAGAATTGTGAGCACAGTAAGTATATATATACTGGATCCTCATGTCTTTGATGAAGACATTACATATGGCAAGGTGCAACAAGTGTGCAATAAATTTCTCCAACACAATTATTTTCCTAAAAGATTATCCTTCACAATGGAAGCATTCACAAGGGTGTTAATGAACTGAATTTGCTAATTATTCTTCCACTTTAGGGATAGTAGCCATTGTTTTCACTTTATTCTGGGCCTATACACAAAACATGCAGACAAGGCTCTCATTTATGAATATATACTGACATGGGAAGAAATCATCCCTAATCTCCAGATAGGATCCCCTGGATGGTGTGACTAATTAAGCACTTGACTCTTAACTGAAAGCTTAATTATATCTATATATGAATGTTTGTATGTACGTATATTTTGTTTTCTTGTTCTAAGGTGGTGATTTCTTTTCAACATTGGTGTCTTCTGATAAAAAAAAGTTGCATTATTGTTGCAGTCTTTGGTTTGCAAGTACTATTGTTGATGGACATTCTTTGGAGTATTATAACATATAAAGGGAGGAAATCACAGAATTAATTATTTTTAAAAAATTAAATTGTGATTTGGGTGATACTTTACAGAGCAAATTGGTTTTCCAGTTCAGCAGTTCATACACATTTTATTTTGTGACATTCAATTCCCACAATGTAACAATGCTTTTCTCACTTCCTCCCTGTATTTGCCATTTCCCTTCATCCTTCTTTCACAGAATTAATTTTCAAGTGGACTTAGAACATGAATACACAAAAGTGGAGAGTTTAGAGTTTTCAGGGGGAATGTTTCCGTGCACTAAAAATGTTTACTCAGAGATGTGTCAGTATAAAGATTGAATAAAATTACTTATTTACCCAAACTGGGGCCATTTCCCTCAAATCTGAGGTAATTTCATACTGTTGGAGTTTTCAGTCATGGGACTGTATGATAGAAGCCACCATACCTGTATATTTTCCTAATTGCTCAAAGCATATTAATCCTAGTTACTCCTATTATGTTTTACTCTAGAACAATCTTTATGGTTTGATGGGGTTATGTAGAATGTGTAATACTGGTCCTAGCCACTGTGACTAGGTTTTTATACATGCTGAGAAGTCCCTCCTGTGAAGTCTGGTAGTTAGGGGCATTTCTTCCCTTATCCCAAAGTACCCTCACTCAAATCCATGATGCAATTTGGTTGTTCCTTTGTTGCTGTCAGTTGCTGTGGAGTTGGCTCCAATTTGTGGTAACCCCATGTCCAACAGAACAAAATGTGCCATCTCCTTGATTGTTGGTATGTTTCAGTCCACTGTTGTAGCCACTGTATATTTTGAGTTCCTTCTAATCTAGGGAACTCATCTTCTAGCACCATATCAGACAATATTGTTGTGATCCATATGGCTTTCACTGACTAATTTTCAGAAATAGATTTGCAGGCCTTTATTCCTAGTCTTTCTTACTCTGGAAGCTCCATCAAAACCTGCTGACCATGAGTGACCCTGGTCTTATGTGAAATATTGATGGCATAGTTTCCAGCATCACGGAAACACACAAGCCACCACAGTATGACCAACGCACAGATGTGTGTGTGTGTGTGTGTGGGTTGCTCTTTAGATAGTCGATAATTCAGACTGAATGGCATCCAATTTCTGACCACAGGCCACAACTAGTAAAATATGCATGTCACCTTGACATTTGAAATTCTTTTGTGATCCATGTCACTGCTTTTATGTTTCGTGAGGCCCCTCTTTGAAGAGACATTGGAAGAACAGCCAGGCCTGGTCCTTTTCCTCCTCTACTGCCTTGTGATCAGGACACAGTAAGGCAGTACTATAATAGGTCTCTCCTACCAACCCCAAAAAAGCACATGATCTCACTTGGCTACCCCTTTAGTGGCAGAATGAAAGGAGGGGAAGAAAAATAAAGAGGGGAAAGGAAAAAGAGTGGAGAATAAGAAGAATGAAAAGCTAACCTTGTAGTGGTTTGGACCTGTTTCAAAGTAGGAGGCAGCAGTGCCAACTTAAAGCAGTCTTCCCCTTGCCTCATTATATACAGATCCTGGTTTCATTACTGTCTAGATAAAGAGAGGACATGGATAGTTAGGTGGTAGGATTTTTGCTTTCCATGCAGTAGACCTCAGTTTGATTCCTGACCAATATATCTCATATGCAGTAGAGGCTTGTGTGGTGCTATGATGCTGAACAGGTTTCAATGGAGCTTCCAGATTAAGATGGACTGGGAAGAAAGGCCTGGTGATCTGCTTCCAAAACTCAGCCAGTAAAAGCCCTATGGATCACAACAGTCCATATGCATTGATCATGGAGATGGCAGGCACAAGACCAGCCAGTGTTTAGTTCTTTTGTGCATGGGGTCACCATGAGTTGGGGGCTGACTTGAGGAGCTAACAACAAACAAAATAGAGAGCTTAGAGAGCTTCTAGGCTTCCCACATACTCTCTTCTCTGCTCTCCAGTCACTTTATATAGTTACAGTTTTATCTTTCTTCCCATTTTTCCTACATCAATAGTGGTTTTAATAAAGATGGTTTCATCAAGCTCTGACCCTGGCTGCACTTCTCCCTACTTTTGAATACCCAGGCTCTCTTTAGTAGCCCTAG